ATTTTAATAATATATTTTAAAAATTTTATTAAGTAAACTTGTTTTTTATATTCTTAAATATATTAATATAGATTTTTTTTTTTTATTATATTTTAATAACTAATTGATAAAATAATATATATATATATATATAGTGCAAGTATTTTTGATCACCACTGTATATACAGTAATATTTATAAAAATAAAAATTGATATTTGGTATTAATTAATTTTAATATTAAGTACGTAATAAAAACGTTGACAGTTTTTTCTGCCAATACTGTAATTATGGTGTAATATTGATTTGAAACGTTCAGCTTGAAATTCGAGAAATAATTTTTATATGCTCGCCTGAATGACCTAATTTTCCATAACCGTTGATTTTTACTTCTTCTTTAAAGCATCATTAATTAAATTTCTCTGATTTCATTTTTATTACTAAAAAAAGACTTAAATTTACATCAACCTTTGTTTTTACATTAACTTCTAATTTCATTCATATAGTTATTATAACGGTCATGGAAAACGTTTATATTGAGGGTGATACCGTTGATGAAAAATTATGTTATGTAGAATGTTCACAGGAGCAACATAAAACAAATTCACATCCTCAGGAATCATTACAACCCAAAGAAGGCGATGATAAAGCCGAAAATACGCATCAAATAACGTACATCAGCGGTCGGGATAAACCTAAAGTTGAAGCTGGAAGAAGGTTTGACCAGGTAATTAGAGACGATGGAAAGAGTCAACGCGTAAAATTTGATGGTATGTATATTTCTTAGTGTTACTTAACCGAAAATTTGGATTATTTCAGATTGATATTTTCACTTTTGTTTATATAACTTGGTAGAAAATTCAGCAAAACGAAAGGAAGAAGTTAACAAACTTGTTCCAGGATGGTGCGAGTAATTTTCGAGAGATTATCGCGTGAAATTTTAATTTAAAAAAAAATACAGGTACAAAAGAATAAAATTTTTCTAGTTATACAGGGTTTTACATTTTTGCAATTGAAGTACATGACGAAGATTGCACAAGCAAATAATAATAAAAACTCGCTGGTCTTCCTATGTGCTATAATCAAATAAGAATTAAAGTCAGTATGATTGAAGTAATTCTCATGTCGTTTGTGTTTTCAATTACAATATCAGAAATTATTTCTAGCGATTTATTTTGTTTGTCTTCATATTTGGCTCAGACAGCCAAAGGAAAAAACTTCATCACTTATTTTATTTTAATGTATCATGGGATAACGAAGAGTACTTACTTATTAATATCCATAAAGCAGACAACTGGAAAGTAGAAGAAAAATTTTTAGATTCGTGTCACATAATTATATTAACTAGGTCACGTGTAAGTTTAACATCTCGTGTATCACATGACATAATCCGATCGTGTACGTATGTACATACGTATACCAATACCATCTGCTTTCTTTTACGCTCGTAATAATGGTAAGTAGCGAAGAACCATAAACAATTAATGAACGTATTTCTTTGATTCTCGTGACAATTAAAACTAGACCGTAACTTCAACTTTCCCCATTTGTAATAGTCTGCTCTAGAATACAATGGTGGGGCCATAGTTGCCATGGCCGGAAAAAATTGTGTAGCTATCGCTGCTGACAAACGTCTTGGTGTTCAATTGATGACAGTATCTATGGATTTTCAAAAAATCTTCCAAGCTACTGACAAAAGTTTTATCGGACTTCCCGGTTTAGCGACCGATGTCCAAACTCTGTACGTAATTCTACTTTTTTCTACTTTGTATTTTAATTATTTTAAATTTCTACATGCCTAATTGATTCCGATAGATCGGAACTATTCCGTTTTAAAACCAACATGTACAAATTACGCGAGGAACGCGAAATTGAACCGAGGACTCTAGCACATATGGTATCCTCAACGTTATATGAAAGAAGGTATGAACTCAATTATAAATTTACTATTGATTACTCTTGCAATTAGATTAATCTAGAACATTACATTTTAACATACAGATTTTCTTATTACTTTGCGGAACCAGTAATTGCTGGTCTTGACAAAAACAATCAACCTTTTATTTGTTCAATGGATCTGATAGGATGCATCAACTTCGCTAAAGATTTTGTAGTGAGTGGGACTTCCTCTAGGAGCTTGTACGGAATGTGTGAATCTTTATGGGAGCCTGACTTGGTATAAATTATCTTATAACCCTCATCTTATTCTTTTCTCAAATAAAGTATTTACTTTTATTCGGATTTATGTTCATAAAGGAACCAGAAGATTTATTTGAAACTATTTCACAGTCTTTATTAAACGCGGTCGATAGAGATTGTTTGGCTGGTTGGGGTGCTGTCGTTCATGTCATGTAAGATCCATTTTAATTATAATTCACTTTAAAGGTCCTTCCAAATGGACATAAATCCTTTTTCCTTAAACAGAACACCTGAAAGAGTCATCACACGTCACCTCAAGACTCGTATGGTAAGAAAATTTATATTTTTTCTCATATATTATTTACTTAATTTATACATGTCAACCATTATTATTAATTATGTAGGATTAATCCCGGTAGTAAGTAAAAACTTAAGTTAACAAGATACCTTTAAAGGTTATCAAAATTCCAGATGGTTATAACCCCTATTAGAGATATCAATTAATCACGAGTGTATTTAAACAGTGTACTTCAAAAACTACCGCTTTGGTAATCAGCTTATTCCGATACTTTATAAATGATGTGGATTGAAAAAAGGGATTTATTTTTAATCGAAAAACCAAATCATTATTTAAATGATAATAAAAAGTTGACACCAACGGAAACAAATTGTAATGCGACAGAAATGGCACATATTAAACACTGCCCTTTACGACTTTACAAAAGAGTGAAAGAGATTATTTGATGTTTTAAGAAAGCTTTGTAAAATAAAAATTAAACAATTTCAATAATTTATTACAGATATTTAGTCTTATCCACAATACAAGTCGTTTATTATCTTTTCAAAATTATCAAAAAATTTCTTTTGGATATACTAATAAAAAAAATATATCGATTTGATTAGTTCAAATCCTTTCTATTTTCAACAATTAATAATTTACTTATGTTAATACTAGATTTAAAAGATACTATTTTTTATTAATATTTTAACAAGATTTTGTTATCAAAAATAATAATTATTTATTTATAGAATAAAAATCTTTTGTTATTGTATAAACTATTAAATTATTAAAGGAAATATAAAAAAATACAAATTCAATAATATTTAAAAAATAATTTTGTAATTATTAAAGAAATCATTTTATCATTTAAACAAATAAAAAATATTTTGCTATAATTATAAAAAATATTAAAAAATAGCTTAAAAATATATTATTTGTTAATAATATATGTTGAAGATGATGCTAAAATTGATATTAACATTTATAATATAAAAATTATATTAATAAATATATAAAAATTATATAATTATAATAATAATATATTGAATATATACTGTATTATTATTATTATTAAAAATTTTATATTAATTATGATTCTGACCAGGCTTGTAATAATTTTAATCTGACTTTTTATAATTTTGACTTAGTGATCTATATAATTTTAATTAATTTCAATATTATTTCTGATAATATACTGTATATATTAGTTTGTGTAAAATGTTTTTGAACAAATTTTTTATTTTTAATTTAATAAATAATTAATAAAATAAACAAAAATTTAAGTATATAATGTATTAAAAAATTCTTGAACAAATTTTGAAATATAATTTTTATTTATATATAATTTATAAATATATTTAAAAATATAAAAAATAAAATTATTTTAAAAAAATTTTTAATTATATATATATATTATAACAATATTATTACTTTAAAATTTAAATAAAAAAATTAATAAAAAATAAAAATTTAAAAATATTATAATTTTTTTTTTTTAAACAGATGGTTTTATACCTTTATTTAAATTATATTAAATACAATATAAATTAATTTTCTTGTTGATCCTTTTAATTGTTGAAATCATGTCTAGAGAAAATCACATCTCCAAAGCTATTCGTCTCATCCATTCCGGTTGTAAAGATCCTTCTTGGAAAACAATAATAATATCCCAAGAAAGAATTAAAATTTTAGAATAGTTGGCACATTGTAAAGAAAAGTCCAAAATTTTGGAAAAAGAAGTCACCAAGTTAAAAGCAGACCTGGAAATATTTTTTGATGCTTATTCCCTTTACTGTTATAATAGAGAGTTGGAGTTGAAAAATAGAGTGGCTTAATTAGAAGAACTTTTTTAACTGTTAAGAACTCCAGCTCCAGCTTCTTTTGATAGGTTCTTTTTTATTTTTGAATTCAATTAGAGGCTTGCTTTTCTTTCTATTGATTTCAAGTTTTTTCTTTTTTACTATTTGTAGATTTATTATAAGAAATGTAGTAATTATTGAATATACTTTGTGGACTGGCTATAATGAATAGAGAGTGCTCTATAGACCATTTCTATTATATTATATTTCTTACTTGTTTTTTTTAGTGCTTTTTAGATTCTTTCTTTCATTTAAGGATTCAATGATGCTTATATTTGGGCAAGTTGAAAACTGGGCTATCATGATATCTATATCCCTATAATGTAGCCTGGGTACTGTAATCTATATAGTAGCTAAAAGATATCAATATTTTAAAAAGAATATAAAAATAAGAAATTATTTATGTAATTATAAGATATAATAATAATAATAATAAAGAAATAAAAATAAAAGTAAAAGAACGAAATCTATCCAAATAATTGTTTAAAAATTGTCTATACAATATATAATATAATACAAGTTAAGCTTGGATTATACTTTAATAAAATTTAATTGAATTAAGTTTTTTATTTAAATTGTGAGTCAAACTCAAGCTTAAACAAAACTTGATTTAACTCAGCTTGTTCGAAGTCCTAATTATACAGAAATATATTTTTGAAATTTTTATTATCAAATTTTTTTTATTGATTATTAATTTTTTTAAAATTTTTTATTAATTATTAATTTTAATAATTGTAATCAAATATTTATTTAAAAAAATTTTTTTTTTATTTTAATTAATTTTTTTATAATTTAATTTATTTTATTTTATATTAAAATAAATAATTTTAATTTTTTAAAACAAAAAAAAATATTTTTTATTTATATTCAAAAAAATATTCAAAAAATATTTAATTTTTATTATTAAAAATATTTTTCTATCATCTTTTTAAACATATACATACTCTAATAGTATCAGCATTTAACTTGCTACGTATTAGAGTTATTAAATCCACACCTCTAGAAAATATACAGTATATTCAATAAGTATACTTGTAGCAGGAATAGCCAAATAATCTTTAGCTATTATTGATAAATGAGGATATTCAAATTCATGAAACTAAATAAAACAAATTAAAATTAAAATATATATATATAATAATTTTTTTTTTGCAATGACTGACATACATTTTGCTTTATTAAGTATTATAGGATTAGCATGTACAAATTTGGTTTATACAAATTTCCCACTATATCTACATAATAAAGCTACCTAAGCTAAGATTATTTCTAATTACCGATTAGCTTATTGCCCTCCATTCTTTCTATATTATCAATACCAGGACCTTGATAACATAAGTAGAGTGCTAATATGTCAAAATATATGTCTTCCAGTCCCACTCACCATCTGATGAATAGAAACTCCAAAAATTATATCCTAGTACGGTTAGCTGTGAACTAGCTATATCTAACAAGAAGTTTTTGTGGCTCAAGTCAAGTTTCTTAAAAAGCTGGTTTTTCTTTTATAGTCTTGTAAACTAAAGGGATAAGGAAGTGTGCTTCATACATGAGAAACGGGGAAAGCATCAAACTTGACAACAATTATCATAATACTACTGGATAATTGTTACACCACTATGTCTTTCTTTGTAACAATCTTGGATCACATGCTATGGGACCCAGATCGCCCTAATGACCCGGATCCTCCAGATCAGCCTGATCAGC